ATGCATATAATTAAAAAGTGGTTCACAGTTTTATCAGACTAAATCTCATTTTTGTAACAAAAAATGTTATCAACCCTTTAAATATCCTGAAATAAAATTTTAAAATTTAAAAAAAATGTTGGCACCCTGGTCTTCCCAGATCAGCTGAAGTAAAATTCTCCTAGCCATGTGGAGGCGCCCAGGAATGTGCCTTTTAACATGCTGGTGCACTCCAGTGGGGTGATGGACTGAACAGCAGCTGATGCCAACACAGAAGAAATGCTCCTGGGGGTGATCAGAGCCCTCTCTTCCTCAGGCTGAGGTCCGGAGCCTGAGACTGACAAAGGTTTGAGTAATCCTATCTCTGTGGCTGGCAGGCAGAGCCGAGTGCATACGGCTAAAGAGATCTGCCACTTCCTGCTGGCCACTCAGATCAGGGAAAGTGGGTGAAAATGTGGCTGAAACCCAAGCCTCCTCCGGCCTGAAAGGGGAAGGCTGAGGGCCATACCCGGGCAGGTGTCGCTGGTAAGCTCTGTGACTTAGCAGCCTCGCAGCCTCACTAGACAGCTGTCCCCTGTCACCTGCTCTGCTCTGAGCTGGGCTGCTGAGTCTGTTTGAGAGAACTGTCCCAGTTAGTGTTGGGGTGAGGGAAGAGGGAGGGAAAAGGGGGTTTAAGCTTAGAAGAGAAGTAGCCTTATTAGTTCCAAGGCCTCCTGCACACTAGGACTTATTCTATCAAGATAAATATATATAAATATAGTTGTTGGTGTGGTGTACTGTCGAGTTGGAACTGACCCATTGCTGACCTTCCCTGGCAGGTTTTCACAGGCAGTTAATCATATGGGAGGAGATTGCCCATCTGGTGAATTTGAATTCATCCATTGGGACTGCAGTGCAACTTCTTGCCACTAGGCTACCAGTGCTCCTTACACACACACACACACACACACACACACACTTCCCCCCCTCCCCCATCCCTCAGAGCTCAAGTGCTGCTTAGAATGTCTCAGAAATGCACTGGGAGCAGCTCCTATACTTATACGGAGTTCTGGGTACAGCACTCATGCTCTTTCCTTGTAGAAGTATACACTAGAGCAAGTGTCTGCTGTTTTCAGTCAAGGTAGATGCTCTTATTCTCCACTCCATACTGGCCTACTAGTTGCTGTCTGAGGGAACTCTGGCGGCCTAGTGGTAAGGGGCTGTGCGGCTAACCTGAAGCACATGGTTCGAATCCACCAGCTGTTCCATGGGAGAAGAATGGACAATCTCCTCCTTAGTGATTTACTGCCTCCAAAAAACCATGGGAGTGTCAGCTATTCAACTGGATGGGACATAATAAACAATGACAGTCTGACTGAATGACCAAGTGCATCTCGATAACTGTTTTTGAACTTCAACCTCTAAATTGCCTGACAGGACGCTCTTTTACAGAAAGCTTGCATACTTATGTAGGCTATAAATGTGGTATTCAGAGAAATCATTCTTCTGTGAGAGTCTCACTCTCTGTGGCAGTTGGTGTTATCCATCGAATTGGGCCCTCTGTCCCAAGTACCTGTTGGAATCCTAACCTCTATCTGTACTTGTGGATATAATCTTGTTTGTGAATAGGAGTTTCTTTCTTATGCTAATGAGACCCTATCAGTGTAGGGTGTACTATAAATGTAATCACTTTTGAGAAATAAAAAAGAGCAGAGCAGGCACAGAGAAGCAAACACAAATGATAGAAAGAGGTAGAAAGATAGATACCATGTGGAAATAGCCACAGATTCAAGGAATATAGGGAATAGCAGAACTGAGCATTTCCCCCCAGTCTTACAGAGAGAATTCCTTTAGAGCTGTACCCTGCATGTCTAGTCTCCTAAACATTTAGAAAATAATTTCTGATGATTAATGACACTCACCTAAGCTATTTCTTTACAGTAGCACTAAGAAAGTAAGACAGTCACAGAGTTCAAAGTCCAGAGACTGCTGATGTTGAAGACTGAGGGAAGTCCAACACTTTTCTGTTCTTGGCCTTCAGTTGTCCTCCTTGTACTGAGGACATGAATCTTCCCCAACTCTGCCTTTTATGGGGATTCCCTAGGTGTTGTGCCAACTGGGGGGGTTACGAAGTGTGCTGTAACGAACTCCATGCTCTCAGCAGTCTGGCACAGGCATCTCAGAGAAGACTTGGGGGGCTATTTCCAGGGCCTGTGTGAGGGCAGCCTCTAAGCAGTGGTGATCTAGCTGCCCGTCCTAGGAAGGGCCGGAGGTCACTAGGTATGGACCACTCACACAGCCATGTCCCACCCTGACCCTTTACTTCCCACGCTGACTCCCTACTAGTGACGACAGTCCTTGCCTTGGTCAGGACAGGCAGTAGCTAATTCAGACTGGCACTGTTCTTCCACAATAGGACTTTAGAAAGAATAATATGTTCTTTATAATGTGTGCTTGCTTTTCCTATGTTTTAGGAAATGTTCGCCAAATGGTATTTTACTGAATGCCCAGAGCAACCACGTGAAGTAGGTAACCTTGTCTCCACTTTACAAACAAAGACAGAAAACTTGCAAAAATATCTGTAAGTTTTCTAAACTCAAATGTCTGACAGTTTTAGACGCATACACCTTCGCCCCCCCCCGCCCCCACCAAAGAGCACTGCCAGGCATTTATGAGAAGAAATAGTGTTGAGAGAAGGTGAAAAGGATTATTAAGTTGGTCTATTAGTGCAGCGGTTAAAGCACTCATCTGCTCATGGTACAATTGGTAGTTCACTCCCACCAGGTGCTCTGTGAGAGAAAGATGAGGCTGTCAGCAACCATGAACATTGACAATCGCAGAAGCCCTAGGGTCCAGTTTCACTCCATCCTACAGAATCAGTTCATAGACAGTGAATAAGGATGACAGAAAAAGAACTGACATCACTCAGCTGTTATGTTGGAGTAGAGCACTGAAGATCTCAAGGATGGCCAGGAGAACTAACAGATATGTCTTGGAGATGGTGCAGCCAGAGTGCTCTTTGGAGGCAAGAATGATGAGGCTTCACCTCACATATTTTGAGTATGTTGCCAGGAGGTGCTATTCCTTGGAGAGGGACACGATTCTGGGAAGGGTGGAGGGTTGGTGTGGGAGAGGAAGACCCTCATCCAGGTAGATTGACAGGGTGACTGCTGCAAGGGGCTCTAGTGGGTCAGGAAGTGTGAGGATGGCACAGGACAGGATTGGGTTTAGATCTTCTGTTCATAGGGTTGCTATGAGTCATACTCGACTCAATGGCACCTAACAACAACAGAAATCACTGTGAGTCAGAATGAAATTGATGTCAGTGGGTATTTTGTTTGTTTCATAGGTCGAATCAGTATAGTAAAAACTCCAAAACACCCTTTAGCCAGGAATGGGGTTAACCCAAAGTTTCCAAAACTTGCTTTCCACTGGGGCTCTTTTCAATGCTAAACTGTGTCCCCTGAAGATGTGTGTGGTGGAGACAATTCCATCTGGGGATGGGATTTTCTTTGTTATGCTAATGGGGCCATGTGAGTGTAGGGTGTACCTTAGGACAATAATTTTAGACATCTAAAAGGAGGGTAGGCAAGTGAGGATAATTTAGCTGGGGAAGATTGATACCATGTAGAGATCAACCCGGAACTAAAGAATGGAAGCAGGAAAGAGACAAAATGCTTTTCCAGAGCTAACATAGGAAAGGCCCTTCCCCCAGAACTGGTGCCCTGAACTCAGATTCTAGCATCCTGAATGTGAGAAAATAAAATTCTGCTCCCTACAGACATCCACTTGTAGTTCGGTTACAGCGTCAATAGACTGTAAGCTATCATTATTGGGGGCCATCCATTTGGTCCTGACTCTTAGAAACTCCGTGTAAAACAGAATCAAGTGCAGGGAGGTCCTGGAGCCTCCTCACCATCATCGCTGTGCTGGCAACCACAGCTGCAGACCGTGCGCCAATCCATCTCATTGAGGGTCTTCCTCCTTCCCCCCAACTTTTACCAAGCAAGATGATCTTACTGTAGAAATGGAAAACAGCACCTATTTTCAGTGAGTCAATTACTGCTTATGATGATCCTCTGGGATAGAGTAGACCTGCCCCACAGGGTTTCCAAGATGGCAATTTTTTTTCCTCCCTGATAAACCTGCCACATCATTTCCCACTCGAACAGCTGGTGAGTTTGAACTGCCAACCTTTACGCTAACAGGCTACCGCCTAATCACTGAGCCATTGGGAGCGCTTGACACTAAGATACTCACTAACAATTTGCTGCATTTCTTTCTCAGACCTCCTCTCGAAAGGAAAAAAAGGGAGCTCTGCTGGCCTAGTGGCAAGAAGCTGCGCTGTGACCTCAAAGACACAGGATTCAAATCCACCAGGTGCTTCGCGGCTGGGCAATTCCCTCCCGTGTGATTTACTGCCTCTGAAAACCCCTCAGAGGGTCAGCTCTGAGCTGGTTCTGACTCAACAGAGACAACCACCCCCATCTCTGGGATGTTTAAGTCATGTTCCTTCACAACAAGTGATGACAAAGCGACAGAGGTAAAGGGTAGTCACTCGTCTCTGTATGAAGAAAAGGAAATCCCATGTCTCCTCTCTACTCATATGTCCATCAGGAAAGGGGACTTTTGCCATGTGACTTTCTGCCTCCTGGGATGACAGGACCACCCAATGCCCCAAATCCAGGATCCTGGCCATGGTCTGTGAGAACCAATTTTTAAAGTTTTAGGACCTTTGTGAGTCACTCACTAAATGATAGACAGTTCCAATTGGTGGGAGAATTTACATGATACAGAATAGCGATAGACTAAAAATTAGGGCTGTGTTTCCTAAGAGCTGACTTACCAGCACATCATGGATCCTGGGACATGTTAGAAGACTTAGAAGAGGTGGTGACAGTTAGGTGCTGCACACAACCTGGCATAGATGGCCCATGCATCACAATCTCCAACTCTCTTGCATGTGAGCTGAGAACTGGACACCATGATAATCTTCCACTAGAATCCCAAATAAGTCCAAAAGTGCCACCTGGCCTACTTACCTTGATATCTGTCACCAACCAGTGTCTCCAGTAGCGAGCTGTGGGAGAAGATCTGCTGGGGGCGTCTGGATCCACCATGATCAGGATATAAGTTTCAGTCTAGAACAGATTCACCAAAACAGAATTTAGCATTGTGGTTAGAATTTTAATAGGAAAAAACCAAAAACAGCAAGGGGGAATAAAACTCCAATTCTCCTCCTGCCCTCTTTAAAATGGTAGTAAATACGTATGTAACAAAACATTTACCATTTCAACTTTCTTCGCATGTACAATTTAGTGATCTTGGGGACTTAGTGCTCCACAGGGACTTGTGCTGCTAACCCCAAGGTCTTGCCATGTGATTGACAGACCCAGAAACGTGATGAAACATCAGCTAGGTGCCAGGTCTGACTCCACAGCAACGCGTGATCAAGTGTATTGTATTAATCACGTTGCACAATCATCACCATTATTTGTTTCTGATAGTTTCTATTACCCTTAAAAGAAGCTGTCTTTGGTAAATAAACTAGTATTTTTTTTTTAAAGAAGCTGTCTTTATCCCCCCTTTCCCTTCTGCGTGTCCCTGGTAACCACTAATAATCTCAGGTATTATGTTTGTATGTGCTTTCTAGATTTTCCATAGATGTGCAATCATGCAATATTTGTCCCTCTGTGATGCGTTAATTTTATTCAATATGAGTCTTTATGACTCATCCATGATACAGCATGCACTGGAATTTTAGTTCTCTTTCTGGCTGGGCTCTATCCCAGCTCTATCTACTTACTGCCTTTTTTTCATCCTTTCACCTGCTGACAGACCCCTAGGATGCACCCGTCTTCTGGCTACTGTGGATGTTGATGTGCGTGTGTCTATCTGTGTTCCTGCTTTCAGACTCCTCTCGTACACGTCACTCTAGCCAAGAATTACAGAGCCGTTCCTAGAGCTTCCAGCCTCTTTCACTCTTGTTTGTACAGCATTCCTCTCATGTCACATATTTATTCTCAGAGATATAAAGCATGTTAAGTAGACAGAAGAACGCTTTGCTTTCCCTTTTAGAAAGAAGAAGACATAAATCAAGCAAGGTGCAGGTACTAAGCCTCTAGTGCTCTGGAAGGAAAAAACTTGAAACCAGAACGCTGCTGTCGACGAGCTTATGGTTCAGTTGAGGGGACTTATTTTTAATTCTTACTTATTTGGGGCACACTTTCCAGAGGAGTGAGTCTTTAGAGAGAGATTGCATGCTAGGAAAGGTAGAGGAGTGGCAAAGGAGAGGAGGACTCTCAACAAGATGGATTGACATAGTAGCTAAGAGTGGGCTTGAGCATATCAGAGATGATGCGGATGCGGCAGGCTAAGACAAAGTCTAGATCTATTGTTCACAGAGTCGCTATGCATTGTAGTAGATCAGACAGCACATAACACCCCCTCCCCCCCAATTCAGCAAATATATGTAGGAGAACATACTCTACACCAGGAACTGTACCGATCTCAAGGAATACTTGAAGATGAATTCATCGTTCAATAAGCCTTAATGAATACATAGTAGGTGCCAGCACCTCTAGGTATTGGGATTCTAACAGAGAGCAAGAGAGTAATACTTTGTCTTTCAAGGAGCTTTTCTACCCCCAGAGGAACACAGATAAAACAAAACCAAATAAATAAAGGAGGAAATGTCAAGCTGTGATTTAGGGCTATGATTGAAACAAAAAGAAACCAGGGAGGAAACATTCTGGAAGAGGAAACAGCTGTTAAGATTTACTGGTAGGAGAAAGGTAGAGTTTGAGGAACAGAAAAAACCCAACCCCAATCACAGGTAGCAATAAGCAAAGGGAGAGGTGGACATGGTAGGCTCGCGACCACAGACGTGACTGCAAGTTTGCATAAAGAGTTGGGATTTTAGTATAAGTAAAAGCAGAGCCAGCAGAGGGCTCTAAGCAGAACAGTGATTTGCTCTGGTTTACATGTTTCAAACAATATTATTTGGATTGCTCAGTGAAGAATGAACAGCTGACATGGAGGCAAGGAAGGAAATCAAAAGGCCAGTTAGGACGTCATTACAGTAGAATATAGAGAGAGAATCTTGAAACAGAATGGTAGCTATAGGTATAAGGGGCTTTTCGTGGTGCAGGTCACAGAAGTTGCGCTATTAAGCTGAAGGCCACACCTTTGATGGTTCAAATTCACTAGCAGCTCCTCCTTGGGAGAAGCATGGGCAATCTCCTCCCGCTCTATTTACAGCTCTGGACAACAATAACAGGGAAAGAGAATGGACAAGAAGGGGATGGATTCGGGATATATTTTGAGGTAGAATCAACAAAATTTGATGATGGATTAGATGACAGAATTGTGAGGAGCGGGTGGATGCTGAGGAATCACTCGTAGACGAGCAACAGGTGACGGCCCTTGAATGACCGAGAGAAGACTATAAGAGAAAGGGAGTTTTGGAGAACTCAGAATTCTTAGATATTGTGATAGATTTGTGTCCCTCCCAAAATATGCACTGTAAATCCTGTGATTTGAATCCATTTTTTTAACCTTTACATTTTGTGAATTTGATGTAATTTTTTTAATCCCAATTAAAGTCTGTGGTTTTAACCCCATCTGGAAACAAATAAAATGTTAGTAAATACTACAAATGTTAAAATGTTTATTAACCTTTTATTTGTTATGTTAATAAAATAGGAATTAGTGTTGGGTAGATTTTGAGGCAATATCTTTTGAGATGTTAAACAAGCATAGAGTAGAAATGAGAGACAGATTTCAAGTCACATGAAGATTGCCCAGGAGCAGAAGCTTAAAAGGAATTAGAATCTTCACTTTGAATTTGGTGTTTGGGAGCTCTGGTGGCCTAGTGGTAAGAAGCTGTGCTGCAATCCCAAAGGCACATGGTTTGAATCCACCAAATGTGCCATGGAAGAAGGATGGGCAGTCTCTTTCTGTGCAATTTACTGCCTCTAAAAATTTGCTGAGGGTCAGCTATGGGTCGGTTTTAACTTGACAGCACACACAACAACAACAAACCATGAGGTGATAACTTTCTGTTAGAGACATCTATTTGTGGCTTTTTTTGGGTTGTTGGTATAGCAGCCAAATAACTAGATAACTAAGCCAAGCATTTTAAGTCTGAAATGCCTTTTAGAGGACAGTCAAGTAGAAATGTCATTTGAGTCTAATGTTCACGGAAGAAATATGGGATGTGGAAGTTCCGGTGTCTACCAAATAGATGATTATTAGTTCCATAGAATAATGGTATGAAGAGAATACACATAGAAAAGGGAGGAGATCTCCTGACCAAAGTCTTGAACAAACTAACATAGATAAGAGACTCTAGCAAAGGAGACTGCAAAGCCACGGCGTTAGGAAGAAAACATGAAGAGTAGGTAGCATGAAAGCCAAGAACAGAAAATGTTTCAGGAAGGAGAAAGTGATGCACCCTACTGAAAGTTAGAGCAAGATAAAGATGCAGATTGTGACATTTTTCTTTCACAACCTGAGGGTCCTTGGTTATCTTGACAGGTCCAGTTTGAATGGACTTGGTAACTGCCATCCAGACGAGCACAACTTGTAGCCACCCTATGAACAAAAAGCCTGGCGCCTCTCTATAACTCTTGTCATTTATCAAAGTTCATAGTTTCCAGAGGCATGTTGCTTAGGAAGAGGATGTCACTCCTGCTTCCTAAAAAGACTAAATTTTGTCTGGACCAGGTTTGTGTGCACACATAACCCATCCAGATCTCTCTCTCTCTCTCACACACACACACAGGGTGGTGGTTGTGGTGGTGGTGTGGGGGTAGGGAAAGAGAGGGAGGAGAGGAAGAGGGAGAGGGAAGGAGGGAGGGAGATAGAGGGAGAGGAATTGCAGAAGAGAGAACTCTATAACAGAACCAAGAATTGGTTCTGATGAAAACAAGATAAAAAAAACAGGTGATAGAAAGTCAGTAATTATATAATGTTGTTGACGTTAAGTACTGTTGAGTTGGAACTGACTCATGGCTGTCCCTCCAGGGGGTTTTCAGCAGCAGGAATTTGCACTGGAGGATACTGCCCTTCTGCAGGGCAGCTGGTGGATTTGAACCACCTGCATTTGGGTTGGCAGTACAACTTCTTACCACTAAGTCACCAGAGCTCCCTAATTATATATTAGACACATATTTAGTTGAATGAAGGGACAGACAACCCTAACTATATAATAGACATACTAAATCAGATGAAAGGAAAGGCAACATACAGCAGAGAGGTGATGAGCACAATATTATTCAGTAAAGACATGGAGGGAGACAAAAGTATAACAAACAACAAAAGAAAATATGACTGCACACACAATCCTGAATTATCAGTTATAACAAACAGGAATCTAAAGTGTGTGCATTAGGCAGACAGACAAGATAATCAGCTTTGGACAAGTAAGAAGGACTATACCCTTGACAATGCATAGGTTTGACAGGTGACATTTCTACACTAATATTAGCATAGACTGTTAATACATCTATGTAGGTAGCAGAGTCAACAGGAGACAAGAGTATATAAACTTCTTCAATATCATCAAACACCCTGAGGGTGCTTTGCCTCAGGATTGCAGTCTTGAGGACATCAAGATTCATAGGCAAACAGTCCACAAAGACTGTTTAAACAATATAGAATGTTCTACCTTCTACTTTGGTGAGTATCAATCAGGGCCTTAGAAGTTTGTGAATAGCCATCTAAGGTGCAACTATCACTCTCTCTCGATCCGAAACAAAATAGAGGGAAGCAAAGCAAAGATGCATAGAAACAATTACTCCAAAGCACTAATGAACTCCATGAATCTCAACCTCCATTATGCATAAATCAGAACAAATAGATGGTGCTCGGCTACCATCGCTGACAGTTTTAAGCAGCATCACATCAGAGGGTCCTGGAGAGATTGGGAGAAAGATGTGAAACAAAACTCAAAATTTTAAAAATGGCCAGGCTTTAGCAACGAGTTGGAAACAACCCAAGTGCCCATCAACAAACGAATGAATAGAGAAGCTGTGGTATATTCACACAATGGAATACTATGCTGCATTGAGAAACAAGGA